GCCCAGGAGTTTGAGGTTGCTGTGAGCTAGGCTGACGCCACGGCACTCACTCTAGCCAGGGCAAAAGAGTGAGACTCTGTCTCAAAAAAAAAAAAGAAAAAGAAAATACATTATAAACTCCCAAAACTCACATCAATGGAAGTTATAGTCACCTACAATAATTAAGAATGGCTGCGTCAGGACCAGAATACATCTTCTGCCTGAATCTTAAGGAAGTATTTCCTTATGTTGAGAGCAGTCTATTTCCTCTTCCAACTTTCCCAGCCAGTACTCTTAGACTTGCCTTCGGAGATGCCATGTAGTAAGTCAGATTCCTCTTTCATCTAGAATTTCAGAAATTTCTGTGAAATGCTCCTCTGTTCTGAACTTTAGTCCTTCTAAAGCCAAAAGCTGCACTGAGCCTTGCTGATCCCAAAAGTTAAATACAGTTATTCCCTTGCCACCCCCTCTACAGCTTGCCTCTGTTCAGCTAAGCTCTTGTCTTGAATCCTCAGAGGACTGGAGCAATCACTGAAAGTCGGAAATAGAACTTCCAAGGTTATGGTCATCTTTCTCCTTGTCTGTTGCCTCCTCTATGGATCTGCCAGCTGGGAAGGGAACAGAACCAGAGTGAGCTGGATGCTAAGTACAGAATCCTCTTTGTCCTTTGCAGAGTCCTTTACATGTCCTTTACTCATGCTTAATACTTTGCTGAGCAATTGCATAAGTACTATCCCATAATCCTCACAACAGATGAGGAAACAGACTCAGAGAGGTAAACTAACTTACTTGTTAAAAGTTAATGTTGGTGAGCAAGAGCCGAGACCCCATCTCTACTAAAAAAAAAATAGAAAGAAATTGGCTGGACAACTAAAAATATATAGAAAAAATTAGCCGGGCATGGTGGCGCATGCCTATAGTCCCAGCTACTCGGGAGGCTGAGGCAGAAGGATCGCTTGAGCCCAGGAGTTTGAGGTTGCTGTGAGCTAGGCTGACACCACGGCACTCTAGCCCGGGCAAAAAGAATGAGATCTGTCTCAAAAAAAAAAAGTTAATGTTGGGGCCCAGGAGACCCCTCACCCCTTCTCCATCCAAGGTTTTGACTAATAGAGTTGGACAAACACAAATACCAAGGGTTAAATGAGAAACAAACTAATGCTTTGTTACTCTAGGCAAACACCCTCCGGGCTAGGCCGGAGAATGTAGCTTAGTCCTGAAGCCAGACGGGATGATGCCCACATGGCCCCAGTGTGCATACGGAGATGGGGCTAGAGATGCAGATTAGACTTCTGGGCCTTTTACTCACTCAGCTACATGAACAAAGGCTGCAGGCCCTACCTTCATACCTAGGCATGGACAGAACAGGAGAAAAATGGAGAACCTGCCAGAGCAGGCCTGTAACCAAGAAGCTGTGTGAGCCCTTTGCTTGTGAGAACACAAATGGAAGGTAAAATAGCCTGTTCTTGATGGCCAGTAATCCAGCCCCCCAGTGAAGGAGGGCCCAGTGACTATCAACCTCTGACCAATTAGATTATCCATTCTTCCCATGGGAAGCGCTAGGAAAGCAGTGGTGGGATTGAGAAAGAACATTCCCTTCAGACCCCCTCCATCACAGAACTGTGAGAGGAAGAGATAAATGTTACCCCTTCCCATCAGCCGCCAAACGATGGCACTTGTTTTGGACGCTGAGGCACGGTGCTGCATGTTCCCCTGTGCCATGGGTTTTGAGAAAAGACTCTGGGTCCTTCAGGCCCAAGTTTAAAGTTTCAAGTTTAAACACTGGGGTTTTACATATTTTCAAAAAGGAAATGTTTTCTTAAAATGAAACTTATTTTATAAAACAGTTGTCCTTCACACTCCTTTGTCTGTTAGGTACATTTGCACAAATCATCTCGTTTGGGAAAACTGCGCTATAGCAGGCAGGGACTATTCTCCCATTTCACAAGGAGGAAATGGAAGCTAAAGTGACAGAACTATATTCTGGCCTATATTTTTTTAACCACAGTGCTTGGGCTCTTTCCATTACACAACACAGTCTGTAAAAGTACAGATATAAGTAGACCAGATACCTCTGACAAACAATCTACTATGTCAATAGAGAGGGGAGGAAAAACTAAGCCCAGCTGAGGTAAGTAGGGCACATGGCTGCCTCCTGGCAGCTGCGGCAAAAAAGGAGGGAGAGAATGGTGCTAGGCTTTTATTGATTAACAAAACTGAGCAGTTCAACAGGAAAGAAGCTGCTTCCTTGGTCTTAAACCCTAAGAGATTTCTCATTTGGATCTTTATATAAGGTACAGAGGCCAGCATCCTGACATGGGCCAGGTGCTGCCATCTTCCAGAAAATACAGGACCATCCCCCAACACCCACTTCTAGGAGTCCCTGGGGAAAGTCAAGGGCACCACATTAAACCTTGATCTGAAGAGTGAGACTACTGAGAACCAGAATGATACAGTCAGGGATGCAGCATGAGGCCTGGAGCCCAGAACTGGAATCAGATAGCCCAGGCTCTGCCACTGCAGCACTCTGTGACCTTGGACAAATCATTTTACCTCTCTGAACCCCGGTTTCCTCACCCATGAAAAGAAGATAATTATTCACTGGGTATAAATAAAACAACTTATGTCATGCATGGGGCATATCACAGATGCCAAACAAGTTTGATTTCCCTCCCTGCCTCTCCGTGAGTCCTTACCCAGTGCTCTGACTGCTATACAAGTGGCCTTAGGCTAGCGAGGCCCAGGGGAAGAGATTCCTGATTGGGGAGCAAATCCAACCCAGCCCTTCTCCCATGACAGGTGAAAACTCAAGTTCCGAAGGTGCCGAAGCAGCCTCTGCTGCTCCATCATCACCCATGCGTGACCACAATCCAGTCTTCCTCCAGGGATATGCTAGAGCCAGAGGCAGAGCACGCTGAAGAGCTACCCACTGCCCAAAGCACTTCTCTGGGGCCAAAGATACCCCCTGAGGGCGTGGAAGGCCTTTCCCTGCCCCACCGGACCTTCGTGCCACTGCCTCCCATCTGCTCTGACTCCACTGTGCATAGTGAAGAGACTGTGTCCCGCCCGAGCGACACAGCCATCCATCTCAGCCCAGAGCAGCCGTCAGATGAGGACACCAAGAGCACAGAGTCCATCTTCCTGACCCAGGTACCTGTATTCAACTGCCCTTGCCGACTTACTGCCAGCTCCCACAGGTTCCTGCACAGCCCTTAGCTGGCTGGACTGCTGTGGGCAGCTGGAAGCAAGCACCCTTGCCAGGGCAGCACCCTTGCCAGGGCTTGCCAGCCCCTTCTGGGAGATCCACTGATCTGAGGCTACTGATGGGGACATATCATGGTCCTATAGTACAGACAAGATCCAGGGTCTGACTGGGATGTGGTTCTGACCAGTTTTTCAGAATGGTTTGCTGCTGCCCCTGCCTCTCTCCTTAAAGGCTCTTCACTTTTGATACTGTCTCTGGATCCTGGAAAGACAGATGGAGCAAACACAGGTCCTGCCCTCAAGGTGCTCTCAGTCTAATGGGAAAGATGGACAGGAACAATACATGCAAACAGTGCTAAGACTGAGGGAAACCCAGGGGCTGGGAGCCCAAGGAAAGGAAGGATGCCTCTGCCTCAGACCAGGAGGGCTTCCTGGAAGAGGTTCAAATGAGCTGAACTTTGCAGGCTGAGTAGGAGTTAACAAGGTGAAGATGTGGCAGGGCATTCTGGGCAGAGGGAACAGCATGAAGGAAGGTATAGAGGAGGGAAATTAAAATGGTATATGCAGGAACCACAAATGTTCAGTGTCAGTGCAGCAGAAGGGTGGCATGTAGGGAAAGGGAACTACAAGGCTGGAAGAGTTGGCAGGGCCCCTTGAAGTCATTACTCTACCATGCCTCTCCCTGATCTCCCTGCCTCCAGTCTTCCCCTCCAATCTGCCCACTGCCGGATCTCTCCAGGATGTGCATCCATACATACATTTACATCCTACTTTCTATCAATCCATCTCTTTCTTTATGCCACAGGTGACTTAGAGTGACATATAAATTCATACAGCATAGAAGTATCTTTATGAACCAGCCAGAACCTTTCTGGAACAACACAGACTATAAACAAATAAGTATTAAAAAAAATAAAAATTGAGAGTTAGATGAAAAGAAAATCTGGACAAGAGAGGAAGTAACAAATACAAGGGTACTTCTATCACTCAAACGTGCGCGTCATGCACTACTGCTCTCATGGTAAAGGTGTATTGCCAAATGTGATTCTGAGCTCCTAGCAGCCAAAGCAATACAATCAATCGTGAGTCACCATGTTGTTCATTAAAAAAAAAAAAAAAACCTTAAAGGTTTTTTCTTTTTCTTGCCTAATTGTCCTGGCTATAACCTCCAATATTGAATAGAAGTGGTGAGAGCAGACATCCTTGTCTTGTTCCTGTTCCTAGAGGAAAGCATTCACTCTTTCACCATTAATTATGATGTTAGCTGTCGGTTTTTCAGAGATGCCCTTAATAGAGTTGAGGAACCTCATTTCTTTCTATTCCTAGTTTATCGAGTGCTGTTTATCAAAAAGGTTTGTTGGATTTTGTTAAATGCTTTTTCTATGTCTATTGAGATGATCGTATGGCTTTGGTCTTTCAGTCTATTGATAGTTTATTTCATTACTTGATTTCCAGATGTTAAACCAACCTTGTATAAATCCCACTTGGTCATGGTGTGTAATCTTTTTACATATTGTTGAATTCAGTTTGCTAATATTTTTTGAGGATTTTTACATTTATTAATGCATTGGTGTGTATTTTTCTTTTCTTGTGAGATCTTTCTCTAGTTTTGGGGTAATACTGATCTCAGAAAATGAGCTGGAAAATCTTCCCTTTTCTACATTTTGGAAGAGTTTGTGAAGGATTGGTGTTAATTCTTCTTTAAATGTTTGATAGAATTCACCAGTGAAACCATGTGGTCCTTGGCTTTTCTTTGTGGGAAGTTTTAAAATTACTAATTCAACCTTTCTACTTGTTATAGTTCTGTTCACATTTCCTATTTCTTTCTGAGTTGGCCATTTTAATAAAGGATATAACTACATCCCTAAATGAAATACAGGTTTCATGTTTCTTATAAAACCATTAGGGTAGGCTAAAATACTCCATCATTTGCCATCAGGGTGAGGATAAAGAAAATATAAAACACCTTCAGCTTGGCATATAAAGGCCCTGCTTATTACTCCAGTTGCCTGTCTCTTCACATTGTACTCCAGGGGTACCAATCTTTAGTTCCTTCAAATGCACCTTGATGTTTCTTACCTTTGCTCATGCTGTTCCTTGCCTGAAGCAGTCATCCTTTCTTGTCACTTGCAGTCCATCTTCTTCCTACCTCTGCCTGGGGATAGCTCTCCCAGCTCTTCAAGACGTAGCTCAGGCAAGGGTATCACTTCCCCTAGGGAGCTTCCAGGCTGGGTTAGGGCTTCCTCTGGTATCACTCAAAACTGCTGTGCTCCCTTCTGTTAACAGTATTTATCAAAGTATATGGTCATCTATTTTCACGTCTGCTTCCTTCCATCTCAGTCTTGGTCTTGACCTTAACAGGGCCCAGCATGGGGACCAGCAATGGAGCTGATGCTCAGAAGTGTTCATTGAATGAATGAATGTTTTTCTTCCTGGGTACAGGTGAGTGAGCTGCCTTCCTCCATCATCCATAGGGATGATTTACAGGTGAAGGAGAAAGACCAAAGGAGACCACCAACAGCACCCAGAGAGGTGAAGAGGACTCGAAGGAAGCTCCCATCTACCTCCCTCCCCAGCAAGTACCGTGGCTATGAAGAGCTGCTGACAGCTAAGCCTGATCCGGCCTTCACTGAGCCAAAGGGTACGTGAGGCCATACTCTTGCTCCAGGGCAAGGGGCCGTCTCCACAGCCCAGAGCAAATCAAGGCCAAGCCAAGGCTGGTGCCAAGCCTTCTTTTCCCAGCCAAGGTGCTGTCCTCTTTCTAGATGTCTGCCAAAGGGCTTCTTAGGGTATCCAGGTTTGAAGCCCTACATGTTGGGACCCCTGCCCTGATGTGGGCCTTCACCTGATTAGGGGGAGCCACAGCTTGTTCCAAGATTACAGCTGGTCTAGGCCCAGCTGCTCTGGATGGAAAAGTCCTCAGGAAAGGTTTGATGACCAAACACCCAGACTGGCCAGATTCCTGAACTCTTCCTAGCCCAGTTAAGTCCCAAACTGACATCCAAAATCCTCCCTATTTGGTTCAGGCAAAGGAGGCAGCTTCCTCTCTGAGCCCCTAAGACTGATATGTTAACAATATATGTGCTTCCAAAGGAGCTGGCACTCAGCTGGACTCTCTAGGGTGTCAGTCCCTGTGGTGTACCCCCTGAGGTTAATAGAGTCACATTGGGGCCTGCCCTTTTCCCCACTCCAGTGCTATTTTTCCATTAGGATCTCTGCTCATATGGGACAAGTACTCACTGAAGAATGATGGAACTTCAGGCACTGCAACAAATCAGGATGAGATCTGGGAGCAATATTTTCTTCTTGGGGAACTCTCAAATCCTTTTACCTAGAGCTGCAGTGAGACTAGGGAATGAAGAAATTGGGGGAGGCATCCAGGAGGAGAGGGAAGTGTCTTGACTCGATCTTGCCTTCCGGCCCTAGGAATCCAGAAGAACGCACAGGCCTTGCAGCACATGCTGAAGCACCCACTCCTGTGCCGCTCCTCCAAGCCCAAGCTGGACACTCTTCAGAAACACTATGTTCCCAAAGAGAAACAGGTAAACATCCAGCTCACTGAGTGTGCGAATGGCCCCTCAGGACCTCCAAAGGTACAGATGTGGCTGTCCCCTCTGAGGGCCATGCTTTCTCAGCGCCCTAAGCGTTCCCCTGCCTGTTGCTGTGACTGTATGAGGTGAGGCCAGGAAAGTCTGAGCGTAAACTTGACAGAACACCCTCCTCCCTTACCTTCTGTCAGGCCCAGAGGATCCCTATTCCGCCCCCACGGAAGACTCGAGCCCAGCTGCTGGACGACATCCTCATTCGCATGCGGGACCCGCGGAACATTACAGAGGCTCCACTAGGTATGGCTCTGCCACAGCTGCCAGGACCCAAGATCCAGCAGTTTACTCATCTGCTGGCATAAGGCAAAGAAAGGGCTTGTGTCAGAGCAGGAAGGGCCCTCAGGGAGTGTCCAGCCCAGCCCTTTCCATATGCAGATGGAAAAACTGAGACCCAGAGTGAGGCCGGGATTGCCTGAAGTCACATATGTTATGTTAGGGACCTGAACCAGGGTTTAATACAGAATCAGGAGGGGATACTGCTGACTTCTCACTGCCCCAAGCTGAAAAGGCTTTTCAGCCTCCTTAACATCCTCTTCCCACGCCCTCCCACTTTCTGGGGGTCTCTGGACCAAATCCTGCTGCTTCAGGCTAGATGGGAACGAGGGCAAGCTTGGTGCCTCTCCTGGCTTCTGTCCCTGCAGGCGCCGTCCTGCGCCGGCGGACCGAGCAGCGGCTGGTAAACCAGAAGCAGTACCTGGAGGCCAAGCGGCTGCTGAAGGAGTTCCGGGCGCGCTACAGGCGGCTGGTGCGCGGCTCACTGCGGAGGGTGTTCGGGGCCACCCTGCTGCCACCAGCCCAACCAGCGCTGAGCGAGGGCCAGCCCAAGTTTGGCCGCTTCCTCGAGTTCATGGATGAGTTCTGCCAGGAGCCAAAAGACTAGGACTGCGCCCCTCCTGGCCTGCACCCGGCCCGCCCCGGGGGCTCTTGGGGCCTCGAGCTCAGCTCGGCTGCTCCCTGGCGGCAGAGAGCGGGGACCTCGTCAGGAACTCCCCTCCCGGGGCCGGGCATGACCCGGCGCCTGGCCCAGCAGCAATAAAGAGGGTACACAGAGCAATAGAGTGGGTGCCACACATTCTTGGAACCTGGGCCGTGGCGGTGTTGTCATGCTTCCGCTTCAAATTAGTTTTCCAAGTATAGATGACATGGGGATATGTTTGTTCTCTGTTGGATGAAAAAACAATGTCATGGGGATTTTGACGAATCCGTGAAAAATGGTTCCAAAAAAACAGATGTTCTGAGTACAGCCCTATGTACAAGGACATTGTCCCGTACATTCATTCTTTATTCAAACTCTTTCTTGTGCCTTTATTAGGAGCATGAATGGTTGAATGTGAGAATGACAGTAAACTGGAGTAAACTGTAAATTCGAATAAATTGTAAGCTGGAGGTAACTTAGGTCAAAAGATGTAGTTGTACACCATGAAAACCCTATCCCAGCTCCTAATCTTTCCCACCATTCTGAATGTCAAAGCAAGACATTCCAACGTGGAGTATTTCCCAGAGCAAAGATAGCACCAAAACCCAAACACCACACAGTCCAAGCTTACCATGTTTGTCCGAGATTGTTCTCCAGAAACCAGACTTTGACTAGAAACAGAACATTCACTTTCATGAGTTTGCTTTACTGTATTTTCAACTTGGGCCTTGCCTCAAGCAGGCAAACATAGACAAATGCACTTTGGTACTGTTTAAATAAACAAGATATCATCCCACTTGATTCCATGCCATTTTCTTGTTGGCATAAGAATCCCTGACAAAGCATGCCCTGTTCCAAGTCCTCTGTCTTTGTCAAAATGCTCTTTATGATAAGTTGAGGAGGCAGCCAGTAGTGACAGTCTGGAAGGATCCAGGTACCTTCTCCAATTCTAAAGCAGACATCAGTTTGAATAAAACCAATACACAACCCGCTTTCTATTTCTAGGCAGGAAGGTGAAAGGCCCTTAGAACAACTATATTTGTACAGCATTAAGAGTAAACAGCACATCAGGCGCAAAAAGAAAAAAAAATCCATTAGTTGGCATTTAAGATAATCATTTTTTCCCTTGCATAATATCTATTCTTTCATTAGGATTTTAAGTGCTCTGCTGGAGCCTTAAGGTTGGTGATGTCATGTTTGATGCAAACTGTTCTGAACCCACTGAGGAAGAGCCCCTCCTCCCACTGGTGGCGCAGCTTTGGAGGTTGGGTGGTGCCAACAAGGGGGAATCTGCTGCTGTATTGATCTGGAACCCACAGCCTCTCGAGCTCTAACAGCTTGATATCTCAAGTTGCCTGTTTTTAACTCATACTAAATGAGAGAAGAGGAAAGGAAGATGAACAAGCCTTGCTTTACCTTGGCTTTGTTCAATTATTTTTTTATTTACGACACCAATAAAGGGAGGGAGGGAGCCTGCTTAGAGTTTGAGGTTGCCCCTCACAAGACAAAGGCTGTGAAAAGTTGCCACCTTACAGACAAGACACTAAGGAGGCATTTACTCACAAAGGAGAGTAAATTTTCTTCGTAGGAAGGAAATAAAAATACTGATACTACATAGAACAATCTGTACATTCATTCTTGGCACTTTTTCCATGATCCAATTTGACTAATCTCTAAACTGGTGACCTCTGCATATAACTAAGTTTCTTCTCTATAAACTTCTTCAGAAAGCTACAGTGGATAGCAATTGTGTAAAGATACATTTCTGGATCATCTTCATAAGAAAATTTATTCAGCAGCCTCTTGCCCTAGAATCTGCTTCCCCGCGCCCATAAACCTTTGTTGTTGAGACACAAGAATTCATAACCAAGCTATGTTCACTCTAAAGATCAGGCCAAAAGACCATTCTATGGGTTGATGAGGAAAAGGCTGGCTGAGAAAGATTTAAAGCCCTAAGGAGTTTCTAATTTGTGAAGAAAAATTAGCTGGCTTTTACCCTTTAATTAAAATTATTAAATTTAATTTATAATAATTAAAATGACAATAATTCCAATCAAAATATATCACTTCCCAAGATTCCACATTCACATTACTCATACTTTGGAGGTTTTCCCTACCCGAGTGTATATTCAGGGGATACAAGCATATTTTAATTCTAACTGAAATAATTAGGAAGAAAAAGCTATTAAAACAAAAAGCCTCCTAATCACTTGGGTGTTCTCCTCGTTAGCAAATTTGTATGTCTGTGTGTAAAACTTCTTTAAGGACTATTTATTCAGACTATAGAAAACTACAGTATAAAACAGGGCATGGGGCACTGGATCTCAAGTTCCTCAATTGTTAAAAAAAGGGAGAGAAGTTTAACTTGGATAATTTCCATGCCCATTCTAGCTATAACATTCTCTGATTACGATCCAGCCTTTGATTCTTCTTTCCCCCTCGCCTGCTGGCCTTCCATTTCAATGAAAAGCCAGGCAGGAAAAAGGAAAGGAATCCCAAGTTGCTGCCAGCTCTGATGACAGGTCAGGTTGGGGGAGAGATTAGGAGGTTAATAAATTGAGGTCTGGGCCTCCTCTGGCCACGTCAGTGATCCACAACCTGCCTTATTTCTTGGGGCTGAAGCTAAAAGCAGCTCCTGAAGAGATGTTACTGTCCTGTAATCACTAGAGGAGAAAATTCATTCTCCCTTGGTAAAATTACTTAGTAAATGAAAAACAATGTTGCAATCAAATTCACAAATACTGATGGGGTCTCTAAAATGTCCAATGCAGCCAGCTGGGTGCTGTACGGAATCCTAAATGGGACCATCAAAGAGCTATGAAAGAAATGGCCTTGCACAAGACCATTAACAAACTCTTCAGCCACACATACATTCAAATACATTCCATTAGACGCTGAGCTCCCCAAGAACAGGGACTGTCCTTTCTGTCTTTGTATCTCCATGACTCAACACAGGGTTGAGTCACAAGTTTGAAGCTCAAGAAGTGTATGTCAAACGGAAAAGGAGGAACAGCTTTCAATCATCAGCTGAACCAGTCAGACACAAATGGCAGCAGCTTCCCATTTGAGTCAGTTTGCCAGTTTGTACCAGACAGGAATTAATTAAGCAGCTTTAATCTCTTAAGGGCATTTTTCCTATAGGGAAAATAAACAAAAACCAGAAGGTATTTATCACCAGTGCTTCCTCCAAGCAAAAATTTACAAACTAAAATTTTAAAAACTAAATGAAGCCACTTAGGAAAGGTTTCCCCGGCAAGCCTCAGCCAAGAAGACTTAACCTTTTTTAAAAAGAGGCAATTATATGAAAGGGGCCAGGGGCTGAATGCATAATCCCCTGATGTGATACCAACCCAACAGGCCCAGATGACTTCTTCCAGCAGATACAATCAACGGGTCATGAACATGTTCCCAAAGTGTCTTTCCCTCTCTAAGGAAAACAGCTAAAAGCCCCCTTCGGAGGGTACCACACTTGGATTTCCCATCAGAATGACCTTTACCCTCCCACCTCTCATAACTTCCCCTTTAGTAAGAAAAAACACAGAATGCATATACACAAGGAATAGAGTAAGACATGGGTAATTTGGTGAATTGGATTTCAATGATTTATGAGAAATACGTTTTGTGAAAGAGTGCATCTCTCATTCTAGCTCACAAAACCTCCCCCATCGTTCTATTTTTCTTATTTTTCTCTCGCTCTTTCCCTCCAAAGAATCCACATCAACAACTCCATTTGTGACTAACTTCACAAGCAACAAGAAAGGGAAATTTTTCAGAGAGAAAAAGCACTCAGGTTTTAGTTATTAAGGATGGGAAGCATCTTAAACTTAAAATACAGATAATATTTTAGTGGTTTTTTCCTCCTCCAAAGCCACACTGATTAAAGATTAAGCTTCTTCCCTCCTTAACCTAAACCACTCTGCCTATATTTGAAGTACTACTGCTCAAAAGGAAGTTTGGAAAACAACTGTCAATACCATCCTAGGCATCAGAGTAGGTACAAGAGGGAAAGTCAGTAAGCTGGATCTAGTGTTTGAAATATTCACTTAACAAGAAGTAGCCTTTCACTCTGCACTTTTTGCTACTGCTATGCAATTTCTTAAAATGAAAGTATTAATTTGGGGAACTATTTAAAATATATATCTTTTATCTATTAAAAATATTTATCTTTTTACCAAAACCAAAAATCAATTCCAACTGAAAAGTGTTTTTCAAATTATTGGAGATATAGAAAAATGTGGCAAGTGGAAAAATAAGTGTCTTTGCTCCTACCAACAAGACTAGCCTTCCAATAATATTTACTACAATCAAAAAGGAAACACATAAACAATGGTGGTAGTAACTGATAAGTTTTCTCTAAGGGCATTTGGTAAGGTCACCCTCCCTGTCCTCTGCCAGTTGCCAGATCTTCCGTTTTGGGCACTAACATGCTCTCCATCCCTTGGAGGCCATATGTTGCTGGTAGGACCTAGAAATGAAGTGGTGTGACTATCAAGTAATGAGATTGATGTATGTTTTTTAAACATACATCTGCACACGTGCACACACACAGAGAACACAGAATACATACATTCAGGTGAGTAATGTTCCCCACCAAAGTAGTCACCGAAGAGATTCCATGTATCTCAATGATGACCACGATGCTTAAGACATCTCTGGAACTTCTCTTTGGGAACTGTTTGGGAACTATGAGCTGCACAAGAGAATGGCTCTGACTGCTTTACAGCAGCACTCATTTATTACTCAAACCCTCTTGATAAGTCACCTTCTTCCCCCAGAGACTTCAAATAGCTCCTGGCTAGTTGCAAACTTAAAATTCTCTCTCGTATAACCACAAAAGATTACAGATTTGCCCTGAGAAGAAAAGGGCAAATCTCCTGAGAATAATTAAAAGAAGGTGTTATACTAACTCCCTTGACCAGTGAGTCACTATTCTGGACCTTAGCCTCTGCCTTAGTAAAAGGAAGAAGTTGGAACAGATGACCATTAGGGTCCCTCCCAGTTCCAACATTTGGGAGTCTGTTTTCAGATGTTTCTAGTCTTTGAAGACTGTTCCAGAAATGTTTTCACCAATGGCAATACCACTGGAAAAGCTATGCAGTATCCTGCTGGGGCTATTCAGGGGACAACATACACTGGGATATATAAGCTCTGGAAGGTTTGTTAAAATGCCAGTCACATGACTTTATAGTAACAGCTCATACACACACAGGGAATGCCAGCCCATCTGAGATTCCCTAAAATCATACCTTAATCCCTATTCTCAATGAGCCCAGATGGGCAGAAGCACCAAGCACCACCAGGGATGCAAAAGACACATGGTGTCAGCTGCTAAGGAAAATAAACCCCAAAGGTCCATGGGACTGAATTTACCAGCTGCATCCAGCTAGATACCTTATTTCCATAGTATGGAGTTTCAGCATTGTTCTTTGCCTGACTTCAGGGTGAATCTTCAGGATTTTAGATCAACATTGCAGATAACCCTTGGCCATGTGGAAAGTAATAATGAAGCTTGATTGTAGTTATGTCTCATAGGCTAGAACCCCCAGGAAAACAGAAGGCTGAAAACTGTAGGGGATGGGGATAACTGCACAGTATATGTTTATACATCCTGTCAATTTTAATTATTTGCATGTGGATTTTGCACTATCAGTGTCCAATGCCCAGCCTTGCTTTCCCTAGGCTCCCCTGGCCTGCCATTGGGTTGTGGTCCATTTGGGAAACTGTAGAAAATCCATTGGATTTGCTGTAGGGAGACCCAGTCAGTCTGGGCTATGCCTCTTAGTAGTTGAGAGAACAAGAACATTTGCACTGTAGTTTCATCATCTAAAAATGAGGCTACTATCACTTGTATGTTAGGTCTATTGGGAAGACCAAATTAAACAATGCTTGTGAATGTGCTCTGTCAACTATACAGCATTAATCAAAAGTTATTTTTAAAACAGAGAATGTAAATCAACTTTTGAAGAAGCATAGCTCAACTGATTTAGGTGGGTATTTATGTGTGGCAAGGGGCAGGAAAAAGAGGAACATAACAATCTATCACTTTGGATCTCCCAAAGAACTATACTATTCCACTTCTTTGAAATAGATGGAATTAATTTTTATCTGCAAGGCTGATTTAAAACAGCACCCTGTTGAAAGAAGTCAGGAAGTCTAACAGTTTGAGAAGGTATCTCCTCTTCCCTCTACCATTTCTAATTGTGGCCATTATGCTCCTAAATGAGGCCATTCCAAATCTCATTCCAAGTGGGGGCTGCCAGATTTGGCCCAGAAGCCCTCGGGCGGGTGGGGGGGGGGGACGGGTCACTCAGGGAGTGAGGAGTGCTTCTGACCTGGGTGACACAGAAACAGAGACGCAGTTCCCTTGGATATTGACTGCAAAGGCCCTAGAACCTCTCGGAACCATATTAGACAGTGTTTTGCCATTATAAGAAAACCAAAGTGAGAACACTCAGCTCTTCAGTATAAATGATCAAGGCCAAAGACCTCTTAAAAATATGTAACACTGTTCATTAAGTGCTACTTGGCCCCGGTCATGTTGCTGGACCGTAAGAGATACTGGTCCACACTTCCTTTTCGCCGACTCACAGTCCGCCTCTCGTTGTCAAACATGCGCTGCAACTGCAGAGCCAGCTGTCGGTCCTCTTCCTCTTGCTGCAATTTCTGCTCCATCTCTCGCAATACTGGGTCTGCTGGGGCCAGACCCACGTCACCACTGGTTGGTCGCAATTTCTTAAGGGAGCCATTTTGTTCCAAGTGCTTCGTCTTACAGTGTCTTTTCCGGCCCCGACGCAAGGAAGGAAGTGGCTCCTCACTTAGGCTGTCTACTAGAACACCATTAGCCAGATCAAAATGATTTAATGTCTTTAATTGTTTCTTTGTTTTGAGGACTCCACCCAAAACACTGTTTTTGGGTAGCACTGAATTAACTGCTGAGATTTTCATGGCTCTACTTATACAGGTTTTGTCTAACTTGGCATCTGGGGTCGACCCTGACCCCTCAAATGGTTCCCTCTCCAAAGTCCCACTAGCTCCCCCTTTGAGTTCTGAGGAACAGCAGGTTTCCAATGGGATCTCAGTGTTCCTTTTACTATCACTGTCCTGTTCTGCTCTTGTTTGGCTAACAGAGGGGAAATAATCCAGGTCAGTGGAAGCGGGTCCAGTACACTCGGAGAGTACTTGCCCACTAGACAATCTTGTATTTGAAGACAGAAGTGGTTTCTCTTTGCTAGCATGGGTAACTTCAGAGCCTAGTAAGTCTTCCCCTGTTTCAGGAGCCAGGGAGGTAAGAGTGGCTTTCGAAAGGGTCTTTTTGATCTGCCGCTCCTGAAAGATCTGTTCCCACTTTTTGAGGATCCGTGGACTGGCCTCATAAGAAGTCTGCTTCTGTAGGCTTCTGTTTAGGTTGCGGGGTGTTGATTTGATGATGAGGGGACTTAGCACACGGCCATCAGGGAGTCTCTTGGGAGGCGTACATGGTGAGCAGACAATGGGCTTGAAATGGTTTAGTTCTTCAGAGATGCTGTCATTGCTCTCAGGGCTGATAGAACGCTCTGGTTTATGCAGGGAAGCCAAGGATGAGAGGGAGCTAAAGGGTAGACGCTTTTCAATGGTTAAGTCAGGGGCCGAGAGGCAGCGGTTGTTTTGAGTGGAAAAGAGGACACCAATGATGGGGTTGGAGGCTGGAGTCATAGCTGTGACCTGAAAGAGATGAAAAAGATACACATATATATTTCCCTTCACAATTCCTTTATGATGGTGCAGGGATAGGACAAGAAATGGGATGAAGGGTAATGTGAGCCTGAGAAATGGGGAAAATCTCTAACCTAGAGAGCATACTATTTAGCAGAAACTCCTACACACTTGGAACAATTAATAAAATTGAAACTCTGTAGGAAAAACACCCTTATCTAGAGCTTTTAAAACGGTTTCTCTAATGGCCCTAATTCTACCCATCTGGCTTCTAATTCAAACCCTCTTCCTTCACATCTGTTTCTAGAATTCGCCAACATAACTAACATGCCTGGGCTCACCCTGCTGCTTCTCATCTGGACTAGTTTCTTTCGTGACCACGTGCAGAGGCGGCCATGGGGCAGGACTGGCGAGCCCTGCAGCCTGGGGCTCAGGTGTACCTTGGCTTTGTTGGCTGGAGCTGCTCTGAGTCTGCTCTTCACTCTTTCCTGAGCTGCGTCACTACAGCTCTGACTCCTCTCCACCTTGGAGTTTAGCTTCCTAAAAAATAAATAAAAGATAAATATTCAAAATTAGTACATATACTAGTTAAGGAAAAAGGATGACAATCTCTTTTGTGTTTTCTAAGCCACTCACCAAGAAAGATAATTCCCTTGGGCAGCTACAATAGAAAATGAGTTAATTTATTAACAAAATACATTCTAAGAACAAACTCTGCCAAAAGAGAGAACGCTCCAAAGAGGACATATGGTTCAAGATTTTGTTTCCAAACTAGACCCTGCCAAAATGAGGCAAGACCAATAGCTGTTTTACCCATGCTTAGAGAGAGAGAGGGATACTTCCCCTTCCTTAATACAGGAAATACAGTGTTAAATCACCTTTACAAACAACGATTTTTCCTTTTATTAGACCCAAACCTCTCCTCAATCCAAATCAGCCATGAAACAAATGAAGTACTTAGAAAAATGCACAGCAGTGTACTAGATCTTTATGTAGGAAGTTAAAATTAAATGTAGTCCCTCAATCCATTACATTTGAGTTTTTAAAGGCCTAAATCCTGGTGAATTAAGAGATTTCAAGAACACATGATTTTTGTCTTACGTATTACATTATGAGTTTATAACCCAAACCAAACTCCACAGTACGTGTATACTGAAGTCCACTAACTACACTATATCATGGTAAGTGCTATAGGAGAGCAGTTATTATACAGCTAAACTTCCCAAGTGTTTTCTTCTAAGAGTTTTATAGTTTTGGCTCTTAACATTTAGGTCTTCGATCCATTTTGAGTTAAATTTTGTATATGGTATGAGGTTAGGGTCCAACTTCATTCTTTTGCATATGGATATCTAGTTGTCCTAGCATCACATGTGAAACTTACTGTGTTAGAATCATGTACAGATGACTGTAACATACCCCATAGACTATAAGTAGGAATACTTAATTAATTTCTTACCTTTGTTTCCCACTCCCCAACTCTTGCCTAAATATGCCTGTTCACCAAGCATCTATCATATACTTACTATATGCCAGACACTGATGGGCACTATCCAGGCATGGGGAATACAGAGAAGAATGAGACACAGTCTACGTCTTCAAGGAATCAGAGTCCAGTGGGGCAGACAAATAAATAAATACAATACAGTGAAAGAGCACAACAAAAAAAGTATGCATACGAGGCAGAAATGGCATAAAAGAGTTATTAATAACTTGGGATGGAGTGAGAACGGGGTTGGAAAAGCCTTCCTGTAGCATGTGCATTTTGAAGGATAAATAAGAATTTGCCACAAGTCAAGGTGACTATGTAGCTATACAGATGATCACAAACAAATTATTTCCTTGGTTGATTCTATTTAGCTTTGGAATGGAATGCATCATATCTACTCTTAATGTGGCAAAAGATTTGCTTTTAAATTTTTACTCTGCCAGGATTAGCTAAGAGAAAACTTATAAAGGAGGTAAGACACATTCCCAGAATACCTCTCCTCTCCCTACGGCTCTAATGAAAGCCTGTGCTACCCATCCACAAAGGCTTCTATTCCAGAATTTCTGTGTTGTTGCTCCCATTCAAAGTCTCATGGCCGCATAGTGTTAATAGGAAAAAGTGGCGGCCAACCTGCATCACGTGTTTGCACTTTACCAAGAAAGTTCAACACTTAACCCAAATGAAATAATGTCAGAGTTGTACACTCTAGTGGGAAATGCATTTTCAAGCAGGTAGGAAATTTCAACATCAACCTATAAAAGCAGCTGCCTAGAAGTCAGCTTGATTAGTATTATACTTTAAAAAAAAATTGAAATTAATTTGCATTCCTAAAAGTCACACAAACTGTCAGTGGTACCAAAGAAGGCATATCAAAAGCTAAGACAGGCCAAAAGCTATGCCTCTTGTGCCAAATAATTAGCCAAGTTGTCAAGGAAAAGTTCTTGAAAGAAATTGAAAGTGCTACTCCAGTGAATGCATAAATGATAAGAAAGTAAAACAGGCTTATTGCTGATACGGAGAAAATTTTAGTGGTCTGGATAGAAGATTAAACCAGCCACAAAATTCCCTTCAGCCAAAGCCTAACCCACATCAAGGCCCTAACTCTCTTCACTTCTGTAAAAGCTGAGAGAGGTAAGGAAGTTGCAGAAGAAAAGCTGGAAGCTAGCAGAGTTTGGTTTATGAGGTTTAAGGGAAGAAGCCATCTCCATAACATAAAAATGCAAAGTGAAGCAGCAAGTGCTGATGGAAAAGCTGCAGCAAGTTATCCAGAAGATCTACATAAGATCACTGATGAAGGTGACTACACTGAACAAAAGATTTTCAATGTAGACAAAACAGCCTTCCAATGGAGGAAGATGCCTTCTAGGACTTTCATAGCTACAGAGAAGTCAAAGCTTCAAAGGACAGCATAACTCCATTGTTAGGGGCTAATGCAGCTGGTAACTTTAAGTTGAAGCCAATGCTTCTGAAAATCTAAGGGCCCTTAAAAATTAGGCTAAATCTATTCTGCCTGTGCTATATAAATGGAACGACAAGGCCTGGATGACAGCATATATGTTTATAGCATGGTTTACTGAATATTTGAAGCTCCCTGTTCAGACTGACTGCTCAGAGAAAAGATTTCAAAGAAAAGATTCCTTTCAAAATATTATTGCTGATTGACAACGCACCCAGTTACCTAAGAGCTTCAATGGAGATGTACAAGATTAATATAGTTTTCATGCCTGCTAACACAACATTCATTCTGCAGTCTCTGGATCAAGGAATAATTTAAACTAATTAGTCTTATACTTCAGAAATATGGCCACAGCTGCCACAGATAGTGACTTCTTAAGACTATAGGTGCCACAGATAGTGACTCCTCTAATGGATCTTGGCAAAGTAAATAAAAAACATTGTGGAAAAGATGCCATTATGAACATTCATGATTCATGGAAGGAGGGCAAAATAGCCACATTAACAGGAGTTGGGAAGAAGTTGATTCCAACTTTCATGGATGACTTTGAGGCATTCAAGACTTTATTGGGGGAAGGAATTGCAGATGTGCTGGAAATAGCAAGGAAACTAAAATGAGAAGTGGAATCTGAAGATGTAACTGAATTGCTACAGTATCATGACAAAACTTTAATGAATGAGGAGTTGCTTCTTATGGATGAACAAAGAAAGTGGTTTCTTGAGATGGAATCTACTCCTGGTGAAGCTGTTGCGAACACTGTTGAAGTGATAACAAAGAGTTTAGATTATTATTACATCAACTTAGCCAAAAAAGCAACAGCAGGGTTTGAGAAGATTGACTCCAATTTTTTAAATTTATTTATTTTTATTTCAGGGTATTATGAGTGTACAAACATTTTGGTTACATTTTATGACTTTGCCTCACAAGGCTATGGTAACTAAAACAGCATGGTACTGGCACAAGAACAGAGACATAGACCTTTGGAACAGGACTGAGAATCCAGAGATGAAACCATTCGCATATGCTAATCTAATCTTTGACAAAGCAGACAAAAATATACACTGGGGAAAAGAATCTCTTTTCAATAAATGGTGCTGGGAAAACTTGACTCCAGTTTTGAAAGAAGTTCTACTGTGGATAAAATGCTATCAAACCATATCTATGCTACAGAGAAACGTGTGATGAAGGGAAGAGTCAATCAATGTGGCAAACTTCATTGTTGTATTATTTTTAAAAATTGCCCCAGCCACCCCAACCTTCAACCACCACCACCCTGATCAGTCATCAGCCATTGACAGCAAGGTAAGACCTTCCACCAGTGAACCTTCAACTCACTGAAGGCTCAGATGATCATTAGCACTTTTTAGCCATAAAGTATTAAGGCAGATTGTGTTTTTAGGCACAATGCTACTGCACACTTAATACACTATGGTATAGTATAAATGTAACTTTTATATGCACTGTGAAATCAAAAGATTTGTGTACTCACTTTACTGTAATATTCACTTTATTGCAGTGGTTGGGAGCCAAACCTGCAATATCTCCAAGGCATGCCTATACCTTTTTTGTTAACCAGCTCCTCCATTAGTGCCTTCTTTTGTGTTAGATATTTCCTAGTAGACCATTTTGATTCTCTTCTTACATCTTTTACTATGTATGTTTTTAGTTTTCTTAGAGGTTTACCTCCTAAGTTGCCCTGCTTATAATTAATATCTTAATTAACAACCTTTTTCAAATTACTATCAACTCGGTTTCAACAGTACCAGAAACATTACGCCTATGTAACTGTCCCTCTTTTATGTTGTTATTGTCACAAATTTTACATTTTTACACATTGTGTGCCCATCAACACAGATTCGTAATTTTTGTTTTATGTAGCTGTCTTTTAATTTTTGTAAAAAAAAGGAGTTACAAACCAATACATTAATACTGACTTTTATATTTACTTATGTAGTTACCTTTATTGGTGTCATTTGTATGTATTTGAAGAAAGTGTCCTTTCATTTCAATGAAGAAATTCCTTTAGCATTTCATACAGGCAGGTCTACTAGTGACACACTCAGTTTTCATTTATCTGGAAATATTTTAATTTCTCCTTGATTTTGATACATAGTTTTGCTGGATATAAAACTTTTGGGTGACAGTTCATTTTTTTCTTTCAGCACTTTGAATATGTCATACCACTGCCTTTTTGCCTCCACAGTTTCTGATAATAAATTAGCTGTTAAAATTATTGAGGCTCATTGGTGGATAATTATTTTACTATCTGTTTTCAAGATTCTGTTTCACCTTCAACAGTTTGATTATAATGTGTTTTGATGCAGATATCTTTGTAGATGTCTTTATCCTACTTTGGAGTCACTGAGCTTCTTGTATGTGTCAATTTGTGTCTCTCATCAAATTTGGTGTTTGGCCATTATTTCTTTATTCTTTTTTTTTTTCTTAAATTTCAGAATATTACCAAGGTACAAATGTTTAGGTTACGTATTGCCTTTGCCCTGCCTGAGTCAGAGCTACAAGCATGCCCATCCCCCAGATAATGTACACCACACCATTAAGTGTGAATATACCCATCCCCTCCTCCCCCTCCACCTGCCC